CCTGAAACCAAAAAAGCACTCTTGAACCAATATCATATGTGAAATATTACTATCGTTAAAACTATTTAAGAACATAAAATACTAACTTTCGTAGTTTTGGGTAATCTAAAGAACGTTTGTCTAGTCCATCCGATGGTAGTTTGACCCGAGATAACATTCAGAGGATTCACAAATTCAGGTGAAAATAATCTTTTGCCATATCATTCACCAGCGAATACAAATTCCATCATTGTGACATTAACAATACCTGCATGCATCCGTTTTTTGCTGTAGCGTCTATCAGAGGTATCCAGGCTGTCGGCTGTAACACGCTGTAAGAGTCATTGTCCAGATAGGCGCTATCTAGAAATAGAAGAATATACATCTATAATAGTAACTATAGAAATATCAGTTTTCTTTTATCCTTAATATATGATATGCTGCTTATTTATATTTTATATTATGTAAATACACGTATCTCTATTAAGACTATGTCGTAATTAATATCACTGTTTGGTAACCTGCCTTGGTGCCACGGCACAGTAGTAGCCTCGTTCTGGGGTGTCTTCGTTCGAAGGTTCCATACCGGATGGCCAGCAATTTCTGGACCGATAAGCTGTTCAATGACGTTCAGTAGGCGTTCGTTTGTCCATACATCTTTGAAAGCCTAATAAAAAATGGGCGATAAAACAGTAGTCCTAACAAGAAGTTTAATTTTCAAAGAAAATTTGTCATTATTGTAATCAAGGATTCCTGTAATTATCATACTACTATAGTCCGTATATTCAGCGTCAGTTTGGTATGGTATCATATTCCTGTCATTCACTGTTTGTTGACAATGGATGTGTCTACATCAGTCCTAGCCTAACAATTATCACAGTCTAAAAGGGATTCGTTAACTTTGAACGCGGATGATTTCGTCTCACGTCAATTCTGATATGGTGGTATCGAATACAAATTTGTTTACGGATTTTTTTCTAGTATTTTATACTTGTAAATGTAAAAATTAAATTTCAAAGTATCCATATTTTGCTATCATCATTTGAAATTGGTTTATATATACACAATGTAACTCGTGTGAAGGAGTACCTCAGATAAAAGCAGGATGATAAATCTCGAGTACTATTACCTTGCATGGAACTATATATCAACCTTACTTCTGACACTATGGTATTACTAGTTTGGTATGTTGGGAAGGTTTATAACACACACGACAATGGAAGCTGAGCTATACCTGTGGAAGTTTTCCCAGCTTATGTAGGACGATGTTTGCCCCCGGGAAGTCATCCTCAATCTTGGACAGCCTCTCGTAAAAACCATATTCTTTGTAAAGTTCTGTCAACAGAAATATTGCTTTGTGTCTAATTCATGTTTGTTAACGACACCAATAAAACACAATAATACTTAATACAAGTCTTTCAGTAAGTGTTACACGTATTTATACAATGCAATGTAACTCAAACAGAACAATCAAATACTGATTCGAAAGGAATATGACCATAAAGTAAAACCACAGAGCAAGTTTCGTTGAATACGATATTCTTGTACAATGTGTCAATGCAGATGATAGGGCAACAAAATCTGAAACACGTTCAGGTTTAAAGATGTCATTGTTTCCTTTAAAAGAATTTTAAATAAAACAGATGTTGCGTTATAGACAAAAGTATACTAGTATTTGACCATTAAGAGTGATTCGTAACACAAGCATTCAAATGTACCTTTGATCTTTCCTTTCTGTAAAAACTGCAGTGCCATTTCATCTAACATATCATTGATTGCTTCTTTACAGGGGTCCAATTCCTCTGGTTTGAAAAAGTTTTCCACAATGACGTAACCCTGTAGAAATTAAAACGTTTCAATATTAAAAGAACTGACATTCTTAATCTCAGTTATATGCACAAATTATGACGCGTTGAGAATAGTCTTGTGTCCATAATCTCACATGACAAACATTGAGAATGTAGCCTCTTAAGATTAAACCATAATTTGAACCTAAAAATCGACGAGACTAGGGCAAAATATCAACAAAAAATGGAGATCGTTAAATGTGTACAAAGGACTAAGACCAGGCGTTCCGGAAAAGGAAGCTTTATTAACGACATCCGCCATATAAATCAAGGTTGAAATCTTAGTAGTAAATAAAATACAACGCACTCTTTTGAGCAAAATAAATGATGACGATATCTTTATCGCACCAGGAAATAGAATATTTTTCAACGAGATCATGATGGCGGCCATAAAACTTGGCATTATTCTTCATCACCTGCATTTTTTTTTTATTCTAACCACCTTACAGGTGAAAATGCATGAAGCATTGGACCAAAACAGATCCTGATTGTTTGAAGTGTCATTGACTTACTGGAATGCTAGTTTAAATACTGAAATCTAAAATCTGAATTACCTGAATAAAAGTATGAAAATATTTGTCAGATTTCAGATGGAGTAAAAAATAAATTATTTTGTAAAACTGAGTTCATAGTGACTGAATGTACGGTTTTTCGTACTTATATTAATATGACTGTTGCTTTTGATAAAATTTTCTTTTTCAGTGTTCATACACTACACGCATATTTGTCCAAGCAAACCTCGCTGTGTCATATGAATGAAAATAAGATCCTTTCTAACAAGTTATATCGCCCATTCGTTTTATTTTCACAAAGGCATCGTACTATCATGTAGTTATAAATATGTAAAATACATTTTTTTTTTAAAGCAGTTAAATATATAGTTCCTCGCAAACAACATTCTATTTTTATCTAGAGTGTTGTACTTAATAATTTCAAGAATACCATTTAATTATGAATGTGAAATAAATAGATGCACATATAAATAGATACAAATATTTAAATAAAGACATTCCACATTATGGCATAATTGTATTTGCAGTTTTCATTACCGTATCTATTGTCTTTGATAAGGACAACATACATTTTGTTCACCTATTATTCCCTGTAAGCGAAAATTGAATTAAAAAATACCACCTTAATTGCAACTTGTAATAAACGACGGAACAGATAACACACTTGATATAAAGTACAATCCATACATTTTCAAAGAATTTGTTGATTATCTCTTCAGAGAGTTGTCCAAGCTTCCGTTCCAGAGAAGTGGGAGGTTTCGCTTTCAGATTAAAAAAATGCGGATTTGCTTCCCCTGTAAAACCATTCGGGATGGAAGTGTTCGTTCTTTTGTCCGCCATACTGCAGCCAAATCTATTTGCTGACTTGGCAATTTGATAGTAGAGACAGACCGGTTTTACAACGCTGGTATGTGCTCCTTGTCACGTAGGCAGGGTCGTACTTCAAATTACCAGCGATACAGTATACATCATATAGACAGACATGAAAGAGGAGCAGGCAAGTATAACTATAGCAAAACTTTCAAGAGAGAAATAAATATCGGAAAGTATAAAAAAAAAATACATTTTTTTATTCAAATTACAGTTAAATCATCACGTCATTATGAAATATGTAACGCTCTTGCAAATTGCAAATGTAAA